GGCTTTCTGGGCTGCAAGCGCACATTGCTGACTCACGTTGAGCTTGTTGTCCACCAACACCCCCAAGTCCTTCTCCTCAGGGCTGCTTTCAATCCATTCCTTGCCCAGCCTGTAGTTGTGCTTGGGATTGCCCTGACCCACATGTAGGACCTTGCATTTAGCCTTGTTGAACTTCGTGCAGTCCGCACGGGCCCACCTCTCCAGGCTGTCATGGTCCCTCTGGATGGCATCCTTTCCCTCCAGCATGTCGACCACACCACACAGCTTGGTGTCATGGGCAAACTTGCTGAGGGTGCACTCGATCCCACTGTCCATGTCATCGACAAAGATGCTGAACAGTGCCGGTCCCAGTACCAACCCCTGAGGAACGCCACTCGTCACCGTTCTCCACTTGGACATTGAGCCGTTGACCACAACTCTTTGAGTGTGACCATCCAGCCAATTCCTTATCTACTGAGTAGTCCCTCCGTCAAGTCCATGTCTCTCCAATTTAAAGACAAGGATATCGTGCAGGACAGTGTCAAATGCTTTGCACAAGTCCAGGTAGATGACGTAAGTTGCTCTTCCCTTATCCACCATCACTGTAACCTTGTTGTAGAAAGCCACCAAATTTGTCAGGCAGGATTTGCCCCTAGTGAAGCCGTGTTGGCTGTCACCAGTCAGCTCCTTACTTTCCATGTGCCTGAGGATAGTTTCCAGGAGGATCTGCTCCATGATTGTGCTGGGCAGAGGTGAGACTGACCTGCCTGTAGTTCCCCAGGTCTTCTTTTTTTTTTTCCTTTTTTAATAATGGGGGTTATGTTTCCCCTTTTCCAGTCAGTGGGAACTTCACCAGACTTCCACGATTTCTCAAATGTGATGGATAGTGCCTATGTGTGCTCTTCGTTCTCCCAGTTACTGACTTTACCTTCTTTGACTTGGGCGGTGTGGCTAGAGCCCTTGCCAGTGAAGACTGAGGCAAAAAAAGTTAAGTACCTCAGCCTTCTCCATATCCTGGGTAACCAGGTCTCCTGTTTCCTTCCAGAGAAGGCCCACATTTTCCCTAATCTTTTATCACTGACATACCTATAGAAGCTTTTCTTGTTGCCTTTGACATCCCTGGCCAAATTTAGTTCTATCAGGCCTTTAGCTTTTGTAGGCCAAAGTCTGCTCTCCTGAAGCCCAGGGTAGTGAGCTTGTTGTGCACCTTTCTCACTCCCCTCAGGATCTTGAACTCCACCATTTCACGGTCACGGCAGCAAACGCTGCCCCTGAGCTTCACATTCCTCACCAGCCCCTCCTTGTTGGTGAGAACAAGGTCTAGCATGGCACCTCTCCTCATTGCCTCCTCTATCACTTGGAGAAGGAAGTTATCATCAGCGTATTCCAGGAACCTCCTGGATTGCTTATGCCCTGCTGTGTTGTCCCTCCAACAGATACAGGGGTGGTTGATGTCCCCCATGAGGACCAGAGCTTGTGAACATGAGACTGCTCCTGTATATAGATGCATGTCCAGTTTGCATACTGTATTCTATGTATACTAAGTCTCTACATAACTGAGCTATATTTTTATTTTAATTGCATATATTTCTTGAAATCTGGTATGAAATTCCATTATATATTTGAATAAGAAGTACCATCTTCAAGCAAATGTTAAAAAAAAGGTTTTAAGTTATGATACATGATGCTATTTCTGATAATTTTTTTAGCACTGAATGTTTCCCATTATGTTTTAAAGTTCTGTGACTTGTCAAAACTGAAAAAATATTCAAAGGAAACAAAACTTTTACTTTTGGTTCACTTGTTCATTATTGTAATTATAAGCTGGAATTCTCTTTCAGAAGCTGATGCCGTGGGATCACCCTTACTACAGTGGCGTTCTTCGTGCTGAGAGGTAAGCTCCTTATGTTCGTGATTGTAATGTAAATGAGTGTCTTTATTTCATTCCTTGCAATAAGAATAAAGAAAGTCCTCAATGTAGACAGGATTTCCTTCTTTGAATATGTACTTCAATATGAAAAAAATAAAGAGTATCTGTTGGGGCAGGTGTTTGTAGCATTTCATAGTTACCACTGGAATGCCTGTAGAAGTTTTTGACTCCTCTGTTATTTTATGGGCAAGTACTGGCCCTCTTTGAAGATATAAGAGGATGAAATGGTTTCAGAACAGATAGAAAATCCTTGTTCCTGTTTTTTCTTTTAACTCTTAGCTGAGCTGCAGTAATGTTTAAAAATACATTTCGATCACTGAATACAATCCAACTCATATTTTAACTGTATTGTACTTCTTACTGAACATGCACCTATCATCCCCTTCTACAGACTTGAAATAGCAACTTCTTGAGCAGATTTTCACTGTCTATGGATAGAATTCATTCTCATCTGTCCTGCAAAGACTGGGAGGTAAATCCTCTGCACAGACTTAAATAATGCACAAGACCTTTGCACATAATGAAATGCCAGCTCTGAAAGATGTGAGCCCTGCATGTTGCCTTTATTAGACCAGCAGCGGTGACCTTTTAGGTTTGTGTTGGAAAAGATAAATTAAAGTTGTACTTCTCTCATGAGAGGGAGAGGAAGAATCTTCCTCTACTGTGGATTTGTTGTTTTTTGTTTTTTAAACAAACTTAGACTGGATGTATCTGATTAAAGTGGATCAGAAAGCTATGGTAGTATAGATGTGCCATGGGAGGACTGCCAGCAGTTGACCTGGCTGTTCTGGTGCTTGCTTATACGTTGTTACTGAGGCAGTAGTTTTATGAGCAGCAGCTCTAATGTTGGCCTTGTCTTAAACTACTGCCTGCTCAGATGGGAACTGAGCTGTGTGTATGCAGCAATGTTCATGTCTTGGGTGTGCAGAACCTGCCGTGCAGGGGAGCGAGAGGGATGTCCAGCTGCTCTGTCTGCTCCCGGTAGCCGATGCCGGAGCACGTAGCAGTCTGCAGTGTATGCATGGATTGCTTGTTTGTGGCACGGTCTGGGAGTGGCTGCTTTTGTTTTAAACTGGATAGGTAGCAGACACGGTTCTGTGAAAGTGGGAACGAACTAGTGGTTATACTGGAGGAGAGTCAAGGTCTGGTTAGCTCCAAATCCCGTCTTAGCAGTGGTTGATAGTAGTCTGTGGAAGAGCACTGTCATACTCGTTCAAGATACTGTCTTGTAGCTTACACATCTCCTTTACCTTGCCTGTATAGTGTCTTCAAAACAGCAAGAATACATTCTGATACATAGTTCTTAATGTTACTGTCAAATGCTAATGAAATTTATCATCTATGTGTCCTATTTATTTTCTATGTTTCCTATAGTGTCTGCTTTCCCTGTTTTCAGAATTAGTGTGCTCCATAAGGGTTAGAGCGGTAGGTGTAGAAGGCTCTGTGTTTCTTTCTCCTCATGGAGGAGTGTCTTTTGATACTGTTTTCTTGTTCTTCTTAGATCATCTCATGAAGCTACCGTATTGTCATTGAGTTGCTGATGATCACAAATAGATGATTCTGCTCATTTTGGCATTAGGAAAAAAATATTTCCTTTTCTTGTGGGGCTTTGTAAAAAAAAAAAAAAGTTACTTTAAGAATTGCATGATAGCTTTATGACGGGAGAGCTGCAGGTACAGACTAAGATATTGGCAGTGTATTTTTGGTATTTTTTATTTATTCAGGTATCAAGTGTGGCGGCTGGATCAGTGTGAAGCATCTTCTGAATCAGGGCCTAAACTTTTTCTCCCTCCAGGTTGGGCAGGAGTATTTTTTTTTTTCTGGCAGGTATACCAGCATCTACAAGACAGTGAAGGAAAAGTAGTTTTCCTCTCCATCGTGTGCAGCAGCGTTTCTCTAAAAATCAAGGCCTTAGGTCTTTCACTGCCCTGTTTTTTGTGTAGTGGTCTGTCTTTGGGAAAAGTTTTTGATCTGACAGTGTTTTAAAAATGCTTTACATTCATTCTGCACATATTGTAGGTAATTAGCAGGGTACTGGGTAATGGGTACCTGAAAAGTAAAACTCACTTCTCCACTGCAAAGTATCAGTGGTTGTGCTTTATGACCGAAACTAGGCAGGAGTCAAGAGAGTGTTTGTACACCAGCCAGAGGACAGAAAGATACCTTGTCATGTCTGTGCCCTAAACGTGTTCTGTTCGCTACTTAACATCTAGGTAAATAGATATTTATCTTTTAACTCTCTCCTTTATCTTGTATTTGTACTTACCTCTGACCACATCCTTTCTTGAATGCCCGTTGGATGCTATGGCATGTTCAGTTCAACGCTTCGTAGTTGGAAGATGGGAACCGTAACTGTCACAAAGCTTCATGCTGGCGGGAGTTTCACTTTTGGCAATTTGTTATTGCTCTCTTTCTGAGACAATTAGCTTGTAGTAGTAAATTATGTCTCTAAGGGAAAATAATTTATACTTTTTTTTAATTGTATCATGTTTAACGTTATTTATAAGATAAATAATTTAATTTTTACTTACTGTATCCTATTTTATTTTGTGTTTTTGCATCATAGAATGACAAAATATGTTTTCAAACAAGATATCTTTACCTTTATTGTATTTCTCCCATTCTGAGTAGTCTTTGTTTAGTAGATTAATTATTTTGTACCTCAAGGATTTCTCTTTTTTTGTAATAAATTTACTTTTAGCTTTATGTCTTTTACAGAAATGCCATGGTCATATTTGAAATAGTGCTGTGTGCAGCACATGGCTTACATTTTTGTCTGTCATGTTTTGGGACTTAGTAGTAGTTTGTGTGGTGGATTTCTGTATTGTTAGGAATTTCTTTTTTTTCTGCTTTTTTTTTTTGTTGAAAGGGAAGCAAATGTGTGCTTTTGAGTATTTCTTTTGGACTACTGCTGTCACTGTGGCTCCAGCTGATGTACATGACTGTAGTTGCCTAGATATTGTGAGGTACATAAGATGCAGATTATCTTTACAAACCTAGTTATAAAGTGAGAGACTGCAGGGTTTAGTTCTTGATTAAATAACTTAGCAACGTTAGTATGTCACACATGCACCACTAAGGGGTGCAAGAAATATTAGATGGGACTGTGTCTATGTCTGTTGAAAAAGGTTTCCTGTTCCCTGGTTTGGTCTATGCGACTATATTTGCAAACAGCAATGTTGTGAGCAAACATTAGACAATGTGACGCTGATGTGATCTTTTATTTCCTCTTTAGTTCTCCAGGTTTTGTCTGGCTACATCAGTTTGTCTCAAATGACACTGAAACTCATGACATGTTTTTAATGTGTCTGTTTTATATCTGTATGTTGTATTTTTAAAATGTATTCATATACTTTATATTCTAAATATATGTTTATTCTATATTAGAACAGGATTAAGGAAATAAATACTTTGTTAGATTCCTCATAATTAGTTTTAAGAGCTGGATATTTACTTCTGAAGAATGTAGGATATTCACATGCATTTGGACTATTGAATTTTAGTGACATTTGCTGTTGTATCAGGTTGCCTTTATTTTCATTTTTTGTTTCTACAGTTACTGACCATTTCTGCTGTTTTGTAAGTTGAACAGCAGGAGGAGCTCCAGACTTAATTCTCAGAGTATGTTTTTCTTTCTGTAAACCTAGCCACAATAATTTTGTTTCTGTCAGCTTTCATCAAGTCTTTTCCCTGGAAACTTGATCCTACTTCAAAAGTGTAAGTCTTCCATTGATAGTAACACGATAATTTACCTTTTTTTTTTTTTTTAATAATGTTAAGTAGCCTTTCTGGCTTTAAACCCACACTTACGACAATGTAAAGTTTTTGTAGCTGTAGTTTAAATGGCAGAGAAAGTAGATGTCAGTATAAATGTACATTTAAGAAAAATTGGAGACAAAAGTCTGAAATTCATGGTAGTAGTATCTTAAAAGAAGATAGAGTAATTAGGAGAACCTCAAGAATTTTGGCAGGCTAAGGGTAATAAACCAGTTAATGCTAGAACATGCTTCAGCTTCTAACAAGTAAGAAGATGCCTATTATGTATATTGTAAAAATAATAGTGTTGAGTTAGTGCAGGCAAGTACCATAGTATTAATTAAATTCCATTACTTCTCAGTAAGTGCAGCTGCAGTTACAAATAATTCTCAAGGCCCTGATCTTGCAAAGATGTAGTAGCCTTGCTGACTTCTTCCAGGTCATAAAAAAAACCCCAAACCAAACCAACAACCAAATGCTGGAAGAGACCTTTGGAGGTCAACTATTTGCCTTGAAGGTGGGATTGATTGTGCTTAAGCCACTCCTGACAGAGGCACAGAGCTGTTCTTGAGAACTGTCAGAGGTGAGCTTAGTGTATTTGGTGTTCACTCCTGTTTCCCTAACTTTTGGTGTTTGCCAGGCTGGGCTGACTTTGCTGGCTATAATTCACTGTTGGGATTTTTGCCAAAATGTCAAAGATTTTATTCAACTTGCAACTGGGATGTGCTTGCAGGGTATTGCACTCTGTGCTGGTCCGTTGCTTTGGGACTGCAGCAATAAATAAGTCTGGCCTTGGGGATGAACAAATCAATGCCAAAATAAGCCAGTTTCCTGCTGTGTAGGAAAGAGAAGCCACCACAGTAACTGAAGGTGTTTTGGATCTTGGGGTGACCAGCTGAGCAGAAACTAGGAATAACTCATCTCCTTCCTTGTTGGGACTGTACATAAGCTGCCAGCTTCAGGGGGGAGTGGGCAGCACTTTTGTTTTTTCAGAGGGGTAGGGACAATACCAAGGTACCTAAACATGACTTTGGATGTTTCTAAAGTTGCTAAAAGCTGCAACTAATGTTGAGGTTTGCAAGTTACTTGTAAACAAACTTGTTTATGGCTGCTTTTTGTTAAATTATTTTTAGTTTTACAAAAGAGCGTTCTCTGTTGGGAACACCATGTGGAAAAATAGCCCAGACCCTTTGTGGAATATGTGAGAA